AAACAGCTTTTCACTAACTATCTAAAAATAACCACTTTTTTGAGCATTGAAATATACATTATTTTTGGATACAATGGTTTAAAATTGGCGACATGTGCTAACACCTAAAAATATACTACGATTTTTCATATTTTACTCTGCATATTGATTATACTATTAAAGCTGAAAACAAATAAATGAATACATTTAAAGTTTTGCCTTAAACTCAATCATCTGATATGCCTATCGTAAGTAATTTTAAATAATTTTTATATATTTACGGTTGAAAGTATGCATTGTTGTTTTCTGTATAAATGCATTTAAGTCCAAGGGGTTATTTTCATTTATGAATTCTAAATATTCGATTTATTTTGTTGCTTATATATTGAATGTATCGAATATACAAAATATGTTCTCCGAAAATTTGAAGTTGATCCGACATACGTATAGTTTCGCAGATATGAGCATATTAGTTTGATTTTTTTGGGATAACGCGTTTTCCTCGAAACACGGTTTTCAGAGTCGTTAAAGAAATTTTCACACGTTTTTCTAAGATATATTTGCCAGATAATGATGGAAGGAAAAAGATTTTTCTTAATAGATTCGAATTTAAAGCAACTCTCATGTGTACATTTTTTTATTAATTATTACCTTTTTTTTTGAAACGACGCAAATTTTTCAAATAAAAAAAATTTTGACTTGCCCTGCCTTATATTCGTCTATTTTAATAACAAATTTTTTTTCGTTTTGGATTTGATATAATTTTAAGCAGAAAATTCTTCCTCACCGCTAGACACTTGTTTAGAAGGTCCTCCTGGAGATCAACTAAGGGATCGAAAGAATCTAGATCTATCAAAATGAATCACCGCTTATTAAAGTATAATAAATTCTGTGAATGTACATTATTTTTATTTAATTAATAAATAAAATCTCACTTCAAAAAATGTCACAAAAAAACGTGTTTGATCCGACTTGCAAGTGGTTATAATCCCTTTAACAAGCAGAGAAAAAATTTGTGATAACATACATTGCTCCAAAAAACTATAGAATATTACTAATTCCACGTGAAAAAATTTTATTTGTTTTTAAACTAATTAATCGAAATTATGAGAAAAATTTAAAAAATATTAAATTTACTTCTAACACCACTTTAGTTTGGCAGAAATTTCAACTGCGGCTACACATACACAACAACCGCACATACATATTTGTATGTTGAATTACATAAAGAGCATTCAGTTGAAAAGAGCAGCAACGCCTTTTTAATTTTCAAGACAATAAATATTGTCCATACTCTCGTCTATTATCTGTCTGCTGCTACTGCTTCTTCTTCTGCTTCACGGCAGCACCCACTTGTGACATTAAATTTAATTATGCACTTTTTCGCCACTGCCTGTACCACAAACTGTCGGCTATTGCATGCACACATGCATACATAGCTGTATAACTAAAGGCAGCCAATGAGCGCCATGGCGTATGAGCAACATTCATTGCTATGCATGCCTACTTGCACTGCTAAAGCTTAGTTGCTGGAATGTTGCTATCATTTGTTTGTTATTGTCAACGTAGTGACCAACATATTTGCGTTTTTTTTTTGTTGCTGTAGTTGTTGCTGTTTCGCTGCTGCTTTGCTTTGTTAAGTTTATTACAATCAATTGTGTAACTGTAGACATATAACGTATACGCCCGGGTGCACCGGCTAAGTGCCCGCCATTACATACATAGACTGGCGGATGTGCGCAAACAATGCGTTTGCGTGTTTGTGTACAACATTGTGTAACTTATGCAATGACTTCTAGAGTAGCTTAACTGCCGACAATTAAAGCGCTGTCTCTTATGGCGGTGGAGGCTTTGCGCGAAGAACCACCTAGCGTTGAATGGTTATGGTAATTTAAAGTTATAGTATGTATGTATGTACGTGGAAAGCAAAGAAATAGTAGATACCAAGAATACAGTGGAATTTTATTTTATTTTTTATTTTTTGTTTTTATAAATAAAGATTTATATAAAATTTTTTATGATTTTTTTATTTTTTTCCATTAGTCTCAAATATTAAAGTAAATATTTAGCACCATATACCGTTCGTTGGAATATGCATCGCTGAATTCATGCCATGAAGCTTGTATTGCAAACAAAGTAAATAGTTTTTCTCCTTATTTTACTTTTGTTTGTGTATAATTTCTATATATTCTACATAATGTCTCAGCCGCCGTTTGTAAGCTAGCTTTTAATTCTATTATTCTTCCTACATTAAACCTCATTGCAAGCACTATTTTATTGTTCCTTATACTTTTTTTTATAATTTATTAAATTATTTTTCTTAAATTGCAACAAAAAAACGTATTAGCTTTTATGTGACTCGCCCTTAGATGCGCGCCACTGGATTGCCTTCCAGCAATAATACAATTAAATGCAATCCAATTATTGTATATGAAATTGTGTTGCTCATTTATTTGCTACTTCTTCGCTACTGCTCGGTATTCTTATATACACATTTTTTACTGTCACATTAATTAGCCACGTGTATGTGATATTTGATTTTTCCGCTTTGTTTTAATTTTTTTCTACCTTTCTAGTACGGTTTTTTGCTTGAGTGCTTCATTAGTGCTAGACGTTGTACTTACTGCTGACGTAAATATACAAGCATGATTTTCAATGTAGCATACTTATAGGCGCCTTAACTACCAAGGCAATGTTACTGAAGTGCAAGTGTTTCATTGATATTTATGCTATATTTATTACAAACGAACTGTTTTCTGCATATTATTTTTTGTAGCGATACTTTTAGGCGAAATTATTTTATCTGCCTGGTATTATTTTTGCATTAAGCTTGTTCAAAATTTTTTCACAAAGACGTTAAGTAGCCATATATGGCTTATTTTATGCTTGTCAGTGTAAAAGGCAAAAAAAAAACAAAAAGTAGTATAAATTTAGGCAGATATTTTACCAATAACAATATTTTTTCACTCTGAAGTAACATTTATATGACCTGATTGCTATTTAGACAAATATATATTATATGCTAGACTGATTGACCACTTGTGGGCCGCTTACACATAAATTAGTAGCACACTTTTTGGCGTACAACACATTTTAGAGAATTTTTGTCAGATAAAATAACTGTTTTTGACCGCTTACCATAAACAAGCCTTCACTACAAAATTATTCGTCAGTGGCAGCTCGCTTCTTTGTAGCATACTTTTAGGCTTCTAATATTTTTATCATGAATTCAATATAATTTATGCACCATTCCCTTTATATTTCCTTGCGCTTAACTAAATATTAAATCGATTTTCATTTCATAGTGCATTTTAAATTTAAAAAAATATTGCATATTTTCAGGCGCTTTGGTAAAACAATAACTTATCACATAATATTCTGGCAATTTGAGCTTATTTAAACCTTAAGCTAGAACGGCAGCGTGTCATTTGTAGCAAACTACGGAATACGATAATATTATACATATGAAAATGTACAATTTTAAAAATTATTTCTCAGCAGTCTCAACTAATTAATTTTTATTTATTTTCTTTATAGGTTATTGTGTTTTTGTAGTGTGCATTGTATGTGACATTTTTCATTCTGTTTAAGGTAATTGCCTGTAGCTTGTTTTCTGTACATTGCTGGTATAGCATACCTCTTGGCTGTTTACTGACTGAAATACGCATGTGCGTTTATAATTCACATAGCTTACTTTTGTATTTAAATTTTATTGATTTACCTTAATTAAATTGGCCTAAAGTTGTTTGTTTTTATAGAGTTTCGGCAGTTATTTTGAAAAGTTTCAAACGTATAATATACTTTAAGGCTCACAATTTATTAATGGGATTTAATGACATTATTTTGGTCTAATAATAAATATAATTATATGATAGGTTTTAAGTTCTTATGACCGATTTAAAGTGTTAACTCCACTTTTTTATGAAACCTTATTTTCTGTTCACTTTTTTTAAATACCACAAGTAAACTGCTAAATATTGGAAGTGTTCATATTTATGTGTATAAAATAAACTAAATTTTAGGAGAAAATATACATGCAATTGCTGATAGACAACAAATGTCCTAAAATTAATTAAGAAAACGTCTACAAATTCTCCAACGTCTACAAATTCTCCAATATCTAATTTTTTGACTTTTTTTCAAATATTTTTAAATTTTTTGGCTTTTAACCCTAAAAAGTATGCTTTGTTTTTGTAATTATCAGAAACTATGATGTGGGTTTTCAGGGATTAAATAAAACGAAACAGCTGATGAGATTGCTAAAAGTGCTACCATCTGGTTACCGAACCAGTACAGGAACAGGAAATACGCAAATCGCTAAATATGATTTTACACTAGGTCTGCTATGCCCCCAACTTAAACTCACTTCGACCTGTTGGTGTAGACATTTGGCCACGTCGTCGCTCTCATTAAGCGAAAAATAAGCCATGAAACAATTTCCTCCACATGAAGGCGCAAATTGACAGTAAAACACATTTCCGGTCAAGCGTTGTAAGCGATATGTGTAGCCAGCGCTGCCACATACACACAAACGTGCAAGTATGTAATAATATCCGGTTTTAGCAGCCTGGCCCTCCGACAGCTGCCATGCGAATATATCCGGCTTGTTACAAGCACACATACAAATATTTTTTTTCGCCAATCAACTTTACTTTTGCACATGAAATTTGTTACCATTACAAAGCATAAAGCGCGATAAAAGTAGCAACAGCTGCTGACAGTTCATTTAAAGCGCTTTTACACTTCAATGGAAAACAATTGAAGCGCGTAGGGCGGCGCAGCGTGCGAGGTGTGCTAGGTTAAGCCCAGCGGTGTATTTTACAAGCAAAGAACTTGCTTAAATTTTCATTTACAAACACACATACACACATATGCAGCACGCATAATAGATTTAACCATAAAGCGCCTATAAGCGTGCAAAAAAGTTCATTAACTTAGCTTTGTCAATGAAATGTTAACACTTTTTATTTTTAGTGTCATTCTTTCTTTAATTCGCACTCTCTCTCTCTCTTTCGTTCCAGCTGTATAGCGGTATTGCTCTACTGAGCTTGTATGCGTCTATGAGCATACAATGGCATTTCTCTTTGAACCATTTCAGGCCGATAACCAATATTTGCGTGAATTCCTTTCACATCTCTATCTCAATTGTATAATACGTTATCAGAATGAGACCGGCTCGGCGGTCAATGATACGGACGATGATGGTAAGTAAATGTTAATTAATTAACACATTTTGCTAAAAAAAATATTCAATACTAAAATTAATATTATATTTACGAAAATATTGCCCAGAAAAAGAATAAAAAATTGTACCACATAGATCGCCCTAGTAGATATAGGTATAACTATATAGGTATTAACTATTATGTCGTTTTGATCCCATCTCATCAGTTTTCGTGTGTACATTTAAGGTCATCAAATTTGATATAATTTAGTTCATAAATTACCTATTTGCCTAACATGAGATCTCTTTATTATATTCCGAACTATTCATCGGTAAAGTTTTCCGCTATTTCATATTTTTAAAAAAGTATGAAACGTCGGTTTATTATGAGTTCATACCAAAACCTGTATGAAACGGGCCATACTTCGCTTCTTTGATAACATATTATATATATTCCTCAAACGTTGCCTACGTTTTAGCGCACTTATGACTATTTTTATCTTGTTTTCAGGACTAGTGCAAAAAAAAACTCTGAAAACTCTGTTTTATTATGAGTTCATGCCTAAACTTGTAGAAATCATGCTATACTTTCGCCTTTTTGATGAGATATTCCTTATATTCCTAAAATATAGCCTACGTTTCGGCGCATTTATGACTACTTTTATCTGTCTGTTCTATTGCAAAAAAAAGAATGACCCTGTTTTATTATGAGTTTATACCAAAACTGTATACGTCCATACTTTCGCATTTTTGATGAGATATAACCTATATTCCCAAAATATTTTCTATATTTTCGCTCATTTATGACTATTTATATCTTGTTTTCAGGATTATTGAGGTCTGTTTTATTATGAGTTTATACCAAAACCTATAGGAATCGGGCCATATTTTCGCCTCTTTGATAAGATGTGATTTACCTACATTTCAGCGCAATTATGAACATTTTAATCTTGTTTCATCTCTTTGATAAGAAAATTGCTAGATTCCTAAAACATTGCCTACACTTCGGCGCATTTATAAATATGTTTAATTTTTTGCTTTTTTTGTTTTTTGACATGACTGCTTACCCTATAATTATAATCCACCAAAAATATTCGCTTTTCACAGAACCCCATAAAAAAGTTTCACATTTGGAAAACTTCTGTTGGCTAACCCCATAGTTAAGTTTCAGAAGCCCATATAGACGGTTCTATAGCATAACTTTTAAAATTTTTGGGTAGTTTTTCATTATATTTCCTTGCACTGCTGACCATGCTTTTGCGAAGCTAAACATTATATTCTATAGTCTAGATAACCCTTTGGAGTGCTCTTCACTTTTTCTTAACGCATTTTCTCTCGTTCCTCCAACTCAAACATGCAGCAAACTATATTGGCGTGCCACGTTACCTCGAGGAGGCCGTGCTTAACGAAGGCAGCATAGACTTGTCGAATGTAGACGAGGCGAAGGCGGAGCAAAATGAACTTTTCGCCTATATATCCAAACATAGCTTAAAACCACCTTCGACAACAACAACAGCAGCATCAACCGCTAGCAGAAATAGCAGCACATTTCAACGCCACTACAATGCTAGCAACTTAAATGAGACAAACCCGTACATCAACAACATTATTGTCACTTCAACGCCTGCAACAAGTTTCAGCACTTCTGCAAATGGCACTTCTTCGTCAGTTTCTTCAGCAACTTCTTCGCCGGTCGCATCATCCACGGCTGCTGGCTCGCCGCCGCTGCGCTTTTGCCCTTTACGCTTTGATGGCTACCTCTGCTGGCCGCGCACCCCCGCTGGCACTGTGCTCAGTCAATATTGTCCGGACTTTGTGGAGGGCTTCAATCGCAAATTTCTGGCACATAAAACGTGAGTGCAATGCTTTAATCGAAAATTGAAAATTGAGAGTCGAAAAACAACAGTAGATATTGCCCTTGGTTATTGGCAGGGAGTGGCGCTTTATAGCACTTTGCTCCCCTCGGTGGTTGAGGCATTTACTGCAAGCAAATATTTGCGTAATCGTTTCTTTGCTACAAATGCACTGCCCACTTATGGCGAGGAATTTGGGGATTTTATTTTATTATTTCATTTTTCTAGAAACAATATATTCACCATTAAACATGAAAAAAGCCAATAATTTTCGAAAAATATTGAAACATTTGAAAATGTAATCAGCAATAGTACACCAATTAACACATTTTTGTTTAAGCAAATATATCGATAACAAAACGTATCGATTTTCGATATTCATACATACATAAAATTAATATGCATATGATGATAAAAGAATAACTTGACAAAAATCAATATAAATATCTGCTTTTTTCAAACAAATGTATCGATAACAAATTTTAATGCTTTTCGTTATTTACAAAACAAAACAAAATGGGTAATAATTAGGTTTTTCTTAAATTGCAGAGAATCATTAACGAAATCTTAATTTAGAATCTATTCAAGATATAGAATATAAATTATATTTTTCTATATATTTTTATAATTTATTTTTAATTTTGAAAATTTTTCCATTTTGTATTAACATTACTTTTTTTTTTAATATTTGTTTTATTTTTATATCTTTTTCGATATTTTTATGATTTTGTATTATTTTATTTAATTTCATTTAAATTTACTCATGAATATAAATGCATCGAAAAATCGAGAACTTTTCTATATCATTTATAACCCGATAGCTAGCGATATTAACAAGAATCGATTGCGTTCAATTTTTTTCTTTTTAATTACAGAGAAACCATTAACATAAAGATATCGAAGATATACATACGTATTTACATTTTTTTTAGATATAGTTTTTATTTATTTAATTATTTACTTATTTAATTTTGTATTTATATTACTTTTTTAATTTATTTTTTAATATTTGCTTTTTTTTATTATTTTTGTACTATTTTATTTTATTTCTTTCATATTTATTAAATTTTTTAAACTTTTTTAAGATTATTATTTTTTTTTTAATTATTATTATATATTTAAAACTTTTTAGTAGTATTGCTTTTTTCATTTTTCTATATTTTTATTTAAACTTTTTATACCTTTTTAAGTTAATGTTAATTTTGTATAAGTATTTTTATGTTATTTTATTTTTAAACGCTTTTCTCTGTTTTATATTATTTTATATCTTTTTTCAATATTTTTTTAATATGTTTTTATTACTTTAATTTTTGTTTTATATTTATTTATATTTATTATAAAATATCGAAGATATGTTAAACTTGCTTTAATATTATTTTAAGTTTTTTTTTAATATTTATTTTAAATTATTTAGTTATATATATATTTTTTTTTAATTTTGTAGTTGTTTCGCTTATTTAATTATTAATTATAGTATATGTTTTTTTTTATATCTTCGTTTAAGTTTTTTTTTTTACTTTTATTTTTTTTAATTGTTACATTTTTCTAAATTTGCCTATATTAATGCGCGATAATTGTTTTTAAATGTGCATAGTTCTGTTATATTTTTTGTATAAACAACCACCAGTTTTTTTCATTTAAACGTGTCTAAAAGTCGATAACTTTGCTCCATCATTATATTTTATTCACTTGTTAGCTGTCTAGAGAACGGCACTTGGTATCATCATCCAATAAGCGGTCGTGAATGGTCCAACTACACCAATTGCATTGATTACGATGACTTGCAGGTAAGAGAGCGCATATTAAAGAACGTGATAAGCAAGAAAAGCTGTAAAAAATCTGGTAATATATTTAGTTTATAAAAATCCAATTATTTTAAGTGCCTAATCGTAAAAGTTTAGAAAAAGTATCAAATACTTTTTATAATAAGTTTGCTCAACTATTTACTACTCATAAATTTTACTCATGCTCTTCTTTCGTTGCTCCCAACAGTTCCGCAGTTTTGTAAATGAGCTGTACGTGAAAGGCTACATCGTCTCTTTAGTCGCATTAATGCTTTCACTTATCATATTCCTTGGCTTCAAGTAAGTATGCAACAGGTATAAAATATGTATATGCCTGAAGCACTTCCACGCACACATTTGTCAATTTATCACTTCATCTGTGTGTGTGTGTGTGTTTAAGAGCATATGGCAATTTATACTTCCCCGTCATTTACAATTCTAATACTTTTAAATTATATCACTTACTTTATTTTTCTTATTTATTTTTATTATTTTATGTGCATTTAATATGCATAAACCGTTAGATCCTTGCGCTGCACACGCATACGCATACACGTGCACTTGTTCGCCTCGCTGGCATTCACTTGCATCGCCTGGATACTCTGGTATAAATTTGTGGTCGAACAACCAGATCTTATAGGCAATAATCCGGTGAGTTGTGCATGATAACTAAGGCATAAATGGTATTTGCTTACGCTTTATTTGCTAATATAATAATCTCTACAAGTGTGCAAGTGTGTGATGTTTAGAAGTTTGCACAAATCGGTTTAATGTTTAATATTATAGTAATAATTCAACTTTATTTACCTTTAATCTTGTTTGTAGCCCTGGTGCATAATTTTACACCTGGTCGTGCACTATTTTATGCTGGTCAATTACTTTTGGATGTTTTGTGAAGGCTTGCATTTGCATTTGGTATTAGTGGTGGTAAGTCAATATAAATAGAAATTAATATTTATGTGTGTTCTTTATGGTATTAAGTTATGATGTGTGCAACTTTAACTTAAAATTCCTTGAAAAACTCTCAAAAACGATAATACAATATACCGATAACACAATTAATCGATAAATACAATACAAAAACAATGCAAATTTCCTATAATTTTAGCATGCAACTAGCCAAAAGTTCAATAAATTATTGGTTATCGATAACAAAATTTAACGATAAATCTAGTACAGTAGGCATCTAGCATAGCAATTTAATAAATTAATGAGTATCGATAACACAATATATCGATAAATTTAAAACAAGCATAATTCGTTATTATTATTATTTCAGTATGCATATGTTTGGAAACTTAATAAATCAATTACTACTGATGACACAATTAATCGATAGCTCAACTACAAAATCAATATAAAATTGTCAAAACATATAACTTAGAATCTTAATAAATCAATAGTTATCGATAAATCTAAAGCAGAATACTGTAATATTTTATGGTACACAATATGTATGAGGCATAATAAATATAAGAAGTGTTTAACACTAGCTGCTAATTTATCGATAAATTTTAGGTAATACTTTTAATTTGATGTCAGAAAAGTTATCAAGTACTATTTCAATTTGAAACAGCTAGAGAAACGGAACTCACAAAATCACTAATTAGCGATAACACAAATTATCGATAGATCTTAAAATAAAAATTTGATAAAAAGTTGGAAATTCATCGATAAATTTTTAAAACATATTTAATAACTGAAAAGTTGATTAACTTTGGCTTTATTATCTAATGATACACAGTATGTATGAGGCTTAATAAAATACTGAAGTTTATCGATACATTTTAAATAATATTTCTGATTTGAAATCTGAATAGTTATCGCTTATAATTTTAATTTGTGGAAAAATTTGTCAGTTTTGTCAATTTTCTGCAGTAATAGTAGTTATTATTATTTTACTCAAAAAATCGAAATTGACGATTATCGATAACATAATCAAATCTTAATGAACTCGAGTATCCATTCGCTAAATAAAATCACTCAATTTTGTAAACGCAAATATTAATTTCATAAATACATCCAAAAAAAATCGAACTTCTCAAAAATATAATCGAAACTTGTAACTATCGTTTAAAAATACAATTCGATATTGTAAAGTCAAAGACTATAGCAATAACAATATATGTTAAGGTAGCACAAAGTAGCTAAAAAAATGTTGTAGGCAACTGTAATAGTTGTTTTGCAATTTTTATCGATAGCAGAATTCATTAATATACTTATTTAACCTGGGTAAGGCAAGAAGCTTGGCGTAGGTATAAAAAGTTTGTATATAAAAGCAACAGATAAATGGTTTATTTACAAATTAAAGTGCATTAATCGATAAATATCATGTGGCGATAACCAGTTTTGTATTATTTTCTGAAACTGAAAGCCCTTCTTTCATCCCAATTCATTAATTTTATGAAATTAATATCTAATTAATTAAGATATCGATAGCATACCGTGGATACTAATTTTATTTACTATAATCGGTTTTGAACTGGAGCAAAATTTAAATATTTTACTTGTTTTTAAAAATGCCAGAAAAATTTTTTTTATCCATCTCAAGTAAAATAAAAATATCGATAACACACTACAACGATAGCTATTATCAGCTTGCTCATATACTATATACTATAAGTTTAATTTCAAGTTTATCTAAAATCATCGATACAAAGGTGTATATTTGTTATCAATATCGATTGTATTTATATAGATTTAAACTTTTTAAGCAACAGAAATTAACATTAAACATACGTTTTTCTCGATAAGAAATATTATCGCTTTATATAACAAGCATGATCGATTTTTATCGATAAAAAGTTCGCTGAATTTCACCAATTTTTCGTAAAGCTTTCGCAATTTATTAAAATACATTGGCGTTAAATGAGACATGCAAGAAATAGCTCGCCTGAAACCGTTTCTTCCACACATTTTAACATATTAAAAAACTAATAAATGTAATGTGCCGTTCACAACGTTGAGCGTTTCACACATGACGCACCAACTAATTTTTATTTCTCAAAAAAATGCAAAGTTTACGCTTGTTTATTAAGCAGAAAGTGCGCTTACAAACAAGAACACACACGCTAACACACACATGGGCTTTGTGTCGCTCGTTGCATAGTTGGCACGCGCCTGTGTGTATGCAACGTTGAAAGTGGAAAACTTTGATTAGCAATGAGTGCCAACATCGGAAAGTTGCCAAGTGAATCAAAATAGCACAGACAACAAAAAACAACAGAAAAGCAACAAAAAAAAGCAACAAAAATTAGCAATCAAAAATGCAAAAATGCTGCGAGATGAATATGAAAAAAGTAAAATGCGATTACTGCTAAGCAAAGTTCGCGAGTGGAGTGTAATAAATAAAAAATGGATTGCGTAATAATAATAAATAAAAAAAATTGCGTAAATGTGCATTTTAAGGAGCACGCTCAGCAGATGTGCTGATTATGGGTATTAAACTTTTGCACAATCATAAAAAAAATACTGAAAACAGAAGAATTTCTTTTTAAATGCGTTCGAAAAGCGCGCCTTATATTTAGCTAAGCGTTTGACAAAACATTTGCCAACAGAAAACTTAACAATGATTGGATTAGGATTTCATTTATTTTATTAAATTTTCTTTTTTAATTTTTTAAATTAATAAAATTTAAATAATTAATATAAATTTACTCGTTTTTTAAGGCACACTTCTTCTTCTTTTCTATTGAAAAAGTCTACCTTTTTCATTATGAATTTTTTTTTTTAATTTGTTTTCTCTTCTTCTCACACAGGTCTTTGTTAAGGACACCATCGTGATGCGTTGGTTCAAGCTCTTCGCCTGGATGTCACCCATACTTGTATTGATGACCTATGGAGCGGCAAGATTTCTACACACCGACGATAATACACAGTAAGTAATTACCGTTATATAAATTTCTCTTACCTTTATTTCTCCCAGCTTAACCGTAAAAAGAAGAAGCCATACCAAACTTCGAAGAAAGTATAATTGAATAATAATATAACTGGTGTGTAAACTAACCGAATAAAAGCGGGGTGTACGAAGAAGTATGCTGGAACACTTAAAAGATATTCAGCATACCGTTATTTTCCAGTAAGGATGCTTTTGTAAAAGATTTAGTGTCGATTCAGTGCAAGAATAGTCAACTGATGGCTGACAAAGCAAACTTCATTTTCTAGCAAAGAGATCCCTAAAAACAAATACTTAATTTCGCAAACTCTGGCATTGAAAAGACATTTCCTATCATACATAAGTCAGCCACAAAAAGCCCGCAATTCTTCTAGCTCCTTCTTTTACACTCAGAGAAAAAAATGCAATTTACTAGTACCATTTCAAGACCTTCACTTAAGAGTAAGAGTCGTTGCAACAAATTTTTAATTTTCTACATTTTTTGTTAAGTCCAAACTTGAATTTTCTTAGATAGGAATATAGCCGCTGCGATTCTGCAAATTCAGCAGGCGGATGCAACAAAAATTTGCGTATACAACGAACATGCTAAGGACTAAATGTTTGTATAGGCATAAAACCAAAAACTAAATAACGGTAACATATTTCCGGTTTAGAGGTGTAATCCGGAAATTGCAATACTTAAACGGAAATTCATCGAAAGACATGAAGTGAATACCCCTTATCAAGCCTTTTATACGCTTCCCGTGTATACCATTTCCTCTGTTGTTCCTGTAAGACACAAGAAATTCGTAGATAATTCCCAATTCCGGTCATTGAAATATTATCTGTTTCCGTTCTGCCAACTGCTTATTCATATAGAGAAACCGGAAATATGGTACAGTTATTTAATTTCCGGTGTTCAATTTTCACAACATCCGGCCCACAGGTTTGTACTCTTTTCTGTGTATTGCAGGTTCCGTTTCCGTATTTCAACATCCGATTTGTTTTTCACTTCCGTCCCAGAGGTTATTTCCGTTTCTGTTGCTCCATATTTGCATCTTTATATATGCCGCAAGCACATCATGAAAATTCTTGGTACATGCGCTTGCTGCTGTGGTAATTAGCACTCAATTCGGCACCGAAATCTCGGATTTCTACCAGGCAAACAGAAGCATGTAGCAAGCAGCCGCCAAGTAGAAAATCGCTCATAATTTCCGAACTATTAGTCATAGAGAATATCTAAAAATGTGGAAATTTCCAGAAATGCATAGGCTACAATCGTCTTTAGGCAAATTTAAATTTGGAATTATTCAAAAATTTAAAATATTAAAAATGTGTCCTAAATCGCCGGTTATTAAAGAAATAAAAGACAACTTTTTTAATAAAATTTTCATTATTAATATTTATGTGTTTTATATATATGTTCTTATATAATATGAACTAAAAACTCGGAAGTACAATTCCGAGAAAAGTTTTGTTGTCGTATTGTATCTCAAACATTTTGAATTTTAAATAATAACAGTCATTTTTCATCTTTTTTATCCGCTTAATTTGAACTTCTTTTCCAGCTGCTGGATGGACGACAGCCTGCTGCTTTGGATCCTGTCTGTGCCCATTTGTGCTTCACTCTTGGCTAGTTTCGGTATGTATTCTATTTTTTCTTCTCTATTGTATGCAAACAACAAAATTCAATTAACTTTTCTCGAATGACAAAAACTTTTCTAATCCGTTTTTCAGTTTTTCTCATCAATGTTTTACGCGTAATTGTGCGTAAGTTGCATCCACAGTCGGCGCAGCCAGCACCGTTGGCCATAAGGAAAGCAGTGCGAGCTACAATAATATTGGTAAGATATATAAGGGAACTTGTGTATAGAAGAGAGAAGAAAGTGAAAGTTAAAGTAAAAGTAACACATAACACAAAATCACTGAAGAGAAAAAAACACGAGATAACTACTTAATATTTTGAATATTATAGAGTCAACACCATTTGAACTCTCACCTAACTCTTTCATATATACACATATTTGAATGTACTCTCCATCTCTTTTCATACTTTACGCCAGCACAGCTATAAGCTTTCTCTTTCTATCTATCTTTCATGTTTTTAACTAGTTCTCATTCTCTTTTTGTTTCTCATATCATTCACAGATACCGCTATTTGGCTTGCAACACTCACTGCTACCCTATCGCCCAGACACTGGCACACCACTGGAGCGCTTCTATCAAATCCTCTCGGTGATTTTGGTTAGCTTGCAGGGATTTGTTGTCTCCTTTCTCTTTTGTTTCGCCAATCACGATGTCACATTCGCCATACGCACTCTCTTAAATCGGCTCATGCCAGGCTTAGTCTCACCACCGCCACCAGGCACACATACCGGACAAATGGCAACAACAACACCAAGCCGGGAGCTGGGTGTGTAAGCGTAGGGAGCAGCGTGAAAAGAGCACGGAGAATGTAAAGAAGCGGACTATATAGAACGTATAAGCTTAGCTTTAAGCTAGAAAAGTTGAAACAGGGCGTTCACAAAGTTGTTGAGAATACCAAAACGTTGATTTCGTGAAGAGAAATACAAAATATTTGTTTTAAAATTAATATACTATATATATGTACTTATGTATAAGATATCTGTAAGGAATACTCTTTCGTTTTCATTTGAAAAATTCAATATGCTCAAATTAAGTAAGCAAGTTTTTTCCATGAACGCTTTTCAATTTAAAAATTTGTTTTCAGACTTGAGTTTTTAACTTTGAAGTTGATGTTTTCACATTTGTATTAAAAATTGTAGTAATGCAAACTTTCGCTGTACTTTAATTTAAATACTATATAGTATTTTGAATTCATAAAAAATTACTCTCCAAGAGAACCAAATTGTGCAGGAAAAAGTCATATTCAAACCCACTAACAAAAGTAAACACAAAAAATATATATAAAAACCAAATGTTGACTACTGAAGTAGACATAAAGAACTATTTAGAGGCCAATGTAACAAAACAAATGTAAATTGTATATCAAATGAGATTGCCTATATGTACTGTATACATAGTAAGCAACGCTGTAATTTATTTAAAAGCACATACAAATAAATATATAGACTAAATAAAGATATCAAACAAAAAAAAATTAAATCTTCTCAATTAAAACACAATAGATCGCGGCTATTAGCACTGTAGTGCTCTAAATCTTTTACAAGTGTGGCGTTACTGCAAGAAAATGATACCGTGAGCTTTCGAAGAACTTTCAGTGTTGGAAACCCACTCATAAACACATAAACAATACGGACAAAAATTTTATTAAAACATTGTTTTTATTGAAAAATTTAAGCACTGAATCGATGGTTTATTGGTCAAAGTAAATATTAACTTTTATAAATGTTATTTTATTGAAACTAAATAAAAAAAAATTCCGCCTTTTTTCGTAAATTTTTTTTAAAAAACGGCGTTTTGGGACACCTTTTTAATTTTCTAAATTTTTTGGTAAGCCCAAATTCAAATATGCTATGATGAAAATTTGCACCATGCGATTTTCTAAATTTCCACGTTTAGATATTTTTCTTACGAGCAATAGTTTAGAAGTTATGTGCGATTTTCTAGCTGGCGGCTGCTTGCTGCATGCTTCTGATCGCCTGGCAGCAATCCAAGATTTTGGTGCCAAATCAATGCAATTCTGAAAGTGATAGTGTGGTACATATATATTTATATAGTGTTATATATGTATATAGCATATGGTATGTAAGGGGAAAAAATGGACCTTTGCAAAACCGTATTTTATTTTGAGGCCAGATGTGGATATATGTTGAAGACTGGAAATAAAATAACGGTATAATATTTCTGGTTTCGAAATCCAAATCGAATATTGTTACACGCAAACAGACTGTGTTCGTTCGAGAGCAGGAAGTACTTTTTTTATGTATTTCCTGTGGCTTGCAGAGCCAACAAAGAAAGCATTACATGCGGAAGCCGGATAGAATGATCCAAAGCGATGCCTATAAAGATTACTTTCGGTTTCTTAAGTAATTGACGTTCCCATATTACAACAGGCGGTTTGACTTTCAAAACTGAAAACGAAGTTTTTTTCTTCGAGATCAGGAAGTACTTTTTTACGTGTTTTCTGTGTCCTGTAATGAATACTTCCGGTTTCTGAAGAAATTTACGTTTCCCGTTTTTCCGTTTGACTTCTAAAACCGGAAATGTGATACCATTATATTTATAATTTCCGGTCTTGAGCTTTTTACATTCGACCCTTATGCATCTTCCACTTCCGCTCTTCCAATTTTGCTCCTTTACGTATAAAATACCGATACCATATTTACGGTATCGAAATCAAAATCGGATGTTGTAAAACGGAAACGGACTGTCTTTCGTCGAGAACAGGAAGTAAATTTTTTTTACTTCATTTCCCGTGTCGGCATCATTTAATTTTATTGCAAATATTCCGGTTATCTATAAAATTATTATTGAAACGAAACATTCTCTAAAATGTGTGTTTTGAAATGAGTTGTGGAAACATTTCCAAGTGCTTTTCTATCTATTACAAGTCCAAAACTTTTCAGTTTCGAACATTTATTTGCTATATTTGAACTTTTTATCAGATACTTGAAGTAGCAACTTACCAGTAAAATGCATCTTTTTTCGCTCGAAGTCTCGCAAATAAACCAAAAGACACATCAATGATAATTAATTCAGGCATTGAATCGAAACTATATGGCTTTAAGCGCCTATATATCGAATTGTAAGCTTTTAGTGGCTGACTAATGCCTAATTTTTCACTTTCAGATGTCTGAGGAGCCGATATTTCAAATAAGTAAACACATTTTTTTTATTTTTTTATTATTTTTTTGTTTTTGTTTTTTTTTTGTTTTGTATAATTTATGAAAGAGCAAAAGATTGTAGAACAAAACTAATACATAAAATACAAATACTCAATAATTATACATTCATATAATTCATATATATATATATAGTAAAATTGTTAATAATTTATATGTAAACATATATACACATACATATATATTTTTAAGCATATATGTATATATATATATTTCTGTTTCTGTTTTCTATTTCTTTTTCGGCATTCGAGTGAAGTGGCTTGCAGATTTCAATATTTTTTTTTTGTTTACTTGACTCCTCCTGTATTTGTATATAGGTAAGTATTGCAGTGTACAAGTATATGTGTATGTATTTGTATATTTTCTCTGTATGCTTTTATATATATATATATATATGTGTGTATGTGTGTTGTATGTATGTATATATATATATGCGTTTATGTTGCTCACAACTTTGTTTTTGTTCGGATAAGTGATCTTCGGCTATTAACTAGTCGCTTGAAGAGCGCGTAGTTTTGGCTTGAGAGATTGGTACAGAAGAAGTGAAAGAGTTTATGCATATATACTCTTGAGTTTCTGCTCCAGCTTACTCTGAGCTGCTTCTACTCTTTGTTTGCTTGCTTTTCTCTGCATTACTCATAACTCGCGCTCCCACTCTTCGTTCTAAGTATGTTTTCGATTCGCCGCACTTCTCTTAAAGCCAAGCACAGGCTCTGTGGTTAGTTTTTGCTTATGTTACTTTTCTCGCTGTAATTCTCGCTCTCCTTACACTTTTACTGCCGCTTTACTTAACTTCACAATAGTCTGTCATCCCTAGTGTTGCCATCCGCCTTTTTAGTCCTGTTCATTACTATTTTGCATTAATTTTGAGTTCACAATTATTATTCCATTAACAAATACCCATATAATTACTTTCTATTACTTGCATTACTTTAGGTTAATTATTTTTGGTTGTTAGTCATATTTGTGACTTACTTTTGCATTTATTTACTATATACGGCATTTTATATATATATATTTTTTTGCTGTTATTTGCTTTGACAATAGTTTGTTACTACTTGTAATTATAACGTAATGCATTAATTAATATGTAATTCATATAAATACAGAAATATTTGAATACATTGAAAGTAATACATATGTGCTCGTATGTTTATAATAACAAAAAGCATTACAAAGTAATTTTAAGGTGTAATGTAAAACGCATTAGCATTACTGTAATGCAAGTAATTGCATATGAGATGAATATTAAGTGCGTACATTAACCACGCGCTACAAACTGTCAGCAATGTAATGTAATGCAAAGTAATGCACATGTAATGGCAGCTAGTAATGAAGTGTTAGCTGCCGGTTAAAAATATACGATTATTAGCGCGTACATTACTAACGCGCTACAAAATGCAATATAATGTAATGTAATGCAAAGTAATGCATATCTAATACAAATTAATGCATATATAAAGACAGCTAATAATGCAGCTGTTTGTACAAAATATATTTCTTAAATTATTAGTTCTAGTATTTATGCATACAATAAGAGAAATTTGCAATTTAAGTATTAAAAGTATATTTGGTATAGTAATGTATTACAATTGCGACAATTCATATATATTAATTCTGTATTTTAATTTATAAATATTTATATATATATATATATATATATATGCGCACATAAAAGCTTAACACAAATGCATGCACTTGTTATATAATTACTTGGTATAAATAATTTTTGCTTAGGTAATTACTAAAGAAATAAATGGTAATTAATGACGACTACATAATAAATTAGCATATTTTGTTGTGTGCTTGTATTACGCACAATTACAACAACTATAAGTGCGACAATATTTATTGTTTGGTATAATGAAAGTGAAGTAATCATAAAGTAATTAAAAAGTAATCACCTGCATTTTTTTAACAACGCGCCGCTGCCAAATATAGGTATCAGCAGCGCCTGTTGGTTAGGCTGGCCAGCGTTTAACGCTTGCCAGTACACTCGTGTGAAAAACTATTATTTTCCATGTCTTTTACGCCGTTATTTTGCGCTTTGTTTTTATTTTTATTTTATTTTTTATTGGTATAGCCACTCAGCTACAGCAGCACATTCATTTATTCTTTCTCTCGTGCGCACGCACGCATGGTGGGCACGCTACGCTCTCAGCAGTCAGTTAAAAGAGTTTCGCTAAGTAATTATGTATGTAATTAAATGTTTTCTAAGCACCCATTTGTTTGTCAATTACTTCGTTTCTTGAATTTTTATGCTTTGTTGCTTTGTTTGCACGGGCGGGGAAACACAAATACTAGTACAAGTACCGTTATAAATACATTAAACATGTATATATGTATATATATATATATATATGTATCTCTATATTTTTTTAGGCGTCTATGTATTTATGTGACACGTAGGTAATTGTAATAATCATGCATAGTGTTGCCAGCTTGTCTAACATACGCTACTATTTATTATTATTTTTTGCAATTTACTTTTGTATTTGTTTTTTGCTTTTGAACATTTAAGAGAAACATGAAACTAGTTTGTAAGTATGTTTATGCGAGTAAATCATAGTCGATAGTAAATATTTTGTTAAATTGCATGCTTTTTGCTTTTGTAATATACGTTTTCTACTACAAATTTGTTCAAATTCTTTTTTATAAATATATTTTTTTTATTTGCAGATTCATTTGCTGTATTTTTTCTTATCTTATTTATAAATTTATTTTATTTTTCATATCTTTTTTTACGCGCAAAATTGCTGGTTTCATAAATATGCATGCCACTGTAGCGCAGCGCACAATTTACGGCTCTTCCAATTTTGCGCGCTCATTTCGCTCTCTCAAATAATAATCTCAATACGCTCTTATTTCTAATGATCTCAAATTTTAGCTGTGGTGTTTGTTTTTACATTTAATACGGTATATATGTATATGTATATATATATTTATGCGTAAAAATTTACTATATATATGAAAAATCAGTGTTTTTATTTGGAAAATGTTTGCTTACACGATTATATATATATATATATATAGATGTATATTTTTTAATTACTTTTAATTTTTCAAAAAAATTTTTGGTATCTAACCAAACTAACGGCATAGTTTTTGAATGCTTTTTTACCGCATCACTACCACATTTACTGTTATATAATTTAATTTTTTTAATTTTTCAATATGCTGATTTTTTCTTATACACTTTGCTTTTGCTAATATTAAACACTTACTTGACTAGTATCTTAAAAATTTTGGAAGCTGTTTTCATTTTTTGGATTTACGACAATTTCGTGTATTTTCACGCTTACTATAACATTTCATATTTCGATTTTTTTACTAATTTCTTGCTGCTGTTACGCTTTACTTTTTATTTTTATTTTCCACTATATAAATTCTGAAATTCTGCTACGCTTTGTGGGTTGCTATGTACTGTTTGTAAAATAGTAATAGTAGTAGTATTTTATGTAAATTTTTTTTGCATTTCTTTTTAACTATTTTTCGGCTTTTTGCTTTGACAGTTTCAGTACAAGTGTGAATTTTTGCTAAGTGGGATTTTTTGGTGTCGTTTTCAGTACAGTTATTTTATGTTAATTTATGGTACGGTATATTTTACGGGATTTTGAAATGCTTTAGTACTTAGTTTTCATATACAAACATGTATGTGCTTATTTTTGCTAGCGCTTTGGCCACACACTGTATACACATAAATATTGGCTTCACTGGTTTTTTTTTTTTGTTTTTTTGAATAAATGCATTTTTCATGGCGTGACGCCCATTTCCGCCGCCTTGCTTCTGGCGTAACATCAATTACTTTTACTTTTTTGCTTGTGTTTCATGTTTCTGCTTGTTAAAATATTATATGAATTTTTTACTTAAAATCTTTTATCTTTATTAACGTTTTTCTATACTGATTTAATAAAATTTGCGCTAACTTCTTCAGATCGCCTGTTGCTTGAGTGTTTTATGTTAGTTGTTGCACATAGTAGGTAGTAGAAGGTGGTGCGTGTCTAGGGCGCATGCGTTGCAGGTGTGGTGCGTGTCTTGACTTAAAAAGTGAGTAAATTATTGCTAGAAGTTCTTAAAATTTCAGACAAAAGCAAGCAGATTTCAGCAAAAAATTCGACAAAATTTGCCTTACTGCGTGCTTAGTCCACAAAAAGTAATAGAAAACGAGACACTCTTACATTTTAGCGCGCTCTTTTTGTCTCTTTGGTTTGAGGGAGCGAGAGAGAGCGAGCACACGCAACTCAGCCTCATTCACTATTAGCAAAGCTTTGCACCTGCTTCACTCTTCTAGCACATTATTAGTATTTTTGTTTTTTTTTTGTTTTTTGGAACCTTTCTCCCGCACCTCAACGCAGTTGGCTAGAAGCTCCTTTGATTTCGTTGTTTGCTTGTTTTTTTATTTTTAAGTAAATGCGCTGTTTTATATACTAAGTTAGCCAACTGTATTTTGAAGCAGCTCAAATGGTGTTTACTAGTTGAAAAACCACTCTGAAACCTTTCGCGTTTACTAGTACTTTTCAATTTGTTAAACCAATATTTATCTGCGAACTACTGTGTTCTTCTAATTTAAGATTTTATCTTCTGAACTCTTCTTACTGACCGCAGTTTGCTTCTCCTTTCCACATAATATCCCTCCTTACCGGTTTTCAGCTTGTCAAGTTCTTACGCGGTCCTTTTCTTCTAACTTTCTACTCTTTCATGCAATATCTTTGTGCTGGCAACTTATTTCACCACTTATCTACTAGGTTCTTCTGCTCTAACTATTCTTTTACTTGCTCTTAACCCTGCAATTCATCCATTTCGCTTTATATTTCTATACGTTTTGCACCCGCTCTCATATATATTTTCAATTTCTTTATCTTTCCACGAACTCTTTGAATTTTTCCAGTACGCACCTTTTTTGGTTATAATTTCTCAATTTTCATCTTTCCGTTTCTGTTTCTGTTTTTGCTTCACCACGAATTTGTAGGAAACTAAAGCTTATTGCCATTATTTTTTCAACAATCTCTGCCTATTCTTATCATATCTTTCGTAAGCGATCTGTCTTTCTAGCCATTTCTACAACCCTCACCTTCAAATATCCAGCCTTCACCCTTACTCTTAACAAAACCCAATATCTGCAATTGTACAGCAGCTCCACCGCTCTTTTGTTAAACAAAGCTCCGCTTACGCTTTTCATTCTCTCTCTCTCTCTCTCTATCTTTATCTCACCACTTTCGCCTTATTTTCTCTCTTCCAATATTTTTCTCTCTTCCTCGCTCAACTCTATTAGTCAATACACATACCCGCTCAGTTTTACTGCGCTATCCTAGACACACACCTTATTTTATTGGTTACTTTTGCGTGTGCATTTGTTTACAGTTATGCATAACAATTATTTATATTTTTTGTTGCTAGTAAATTGGTTAAACGCACAGTTATATATGTATACAAGTATTTGACATGGGAAAATCATTTTCTATAAGCTGACTCTCAATACACTAACGCATATAGTGGTCCACGGCTAGTCTAAATATTTGTTCTGCTTGTCTACAGTGGCGCATTGTGTTTTAACAGTAGTGATTTTGGTAAATTATTAGTTTAAGTTTACATTTTCTCTGCTCTCGCAGCAATAATGAGCACATTAAATGTTTATGACATTTATACGAATGTATGTAATAAGTTTTGAATAATTTTTAATCGGTATGCGATCCAAGTTTGTTGCTATGATTAACATTTTTTATGTGCCTATGTGTTTGAGGGTGATTTTAATTACTGTTTTTACTCGCTTTCACTTATTTTTTTTTATTTGCAAACAATTAAATATCAATTGTATTGATCAGTATATAGAGTATGTATTGTTTTTTTTTTTTATTGTTGATGTACACATAAATCTGTTAGCGATCTCGATTCGTTACATTGATTACATAAAATACATGCATGTAAATGTGTGATAACTTCTGATTTTATCTGAATAATATATGTAGATGTATGTATGATTAATTAGCTTTTTTAAAACACATTTTCGTTTAGCACCTAAATGAGTGCATTGCCACACAATTACATATTATACAAGCGTAGTATAGTGCTAAGTATACTGAGAACTTGATTACATGTTTGTGGCTATCGATTGTTCGGCAGAATTTAGGTGAGTCGACAAGTTGAGTGCACCGAACGGCAGTTGTGTGGCGTGCGAGGCCGCGATGCACACCATTTTATCGCTAGCTTTTATAACAGCGTCTCGCTAATTCTCGTACGCTCTCTTGATATTCACTATACTCATCTAAAATGCTAAACTTTATCTGCTTTCCACATATAAACTTCCATCTGCACTTTCTAGCCACATTCTGCATTTCAATTTGAATCAATATTGCCTGACACTCCCTTCTCTCAACTGGGCGCTCTGCCTGCTCACCCACAACAACCGCTGGATCAGCACACTCGCTATCAGCTCACCTTCGTTGATCGTTTGCTGTTATTGTTTACTCTTTTTAAACCCTTTTGTGATCGTTTGTAAGTTGTTGCGCTATTGCCATATTTCAGTTGAAGCTTTTTAATACGTTGTTGCCAAATTTCAGTTCAAACTTTGTAATGCGCTGTTGCCACATTATAGGCTTAACTTCTACACGCTCATGCTTCAATATTAGCACACCTGCATTTATAAAATTTGGCTTATTTTAATCATTTTCATTTAAATACTTTCATTATTTACTGCGTTGCCAATTACTAGTAGTTTTCGATTTGCATATGTATTTTTTTTCTACGAAATACCTCAACCTCCGAAAATATTGCCATTAGTTGTTGATTTTCGTTTTTAATTGTTTGCTATATTAATACTTTGTTATTGCAATCGCCCGCCTGCTACAAACATCATTTTTACATCTCACTCTACTTTCGGTGTACTGCGTTCCTTCTCCGCACTCTTTAAGCAATTACGCGCTATCTTTGCTTTTAATATGCTTTCCCTTTAGTGGTTATGCCTTCTCTTTCCATCATTCTGCTACCTGCTCTAATTTACACACAAACTTTTACATTTTTCGCTCCTAACTTTTTCATTACGATTCTCTCTTGTACTATACTCACTCTTTCTTTACTATTATCTCTTCTACCATACTTTATCACTCTTTCACTACTATTCTCTCTTCTTGCTATTTTTATAGAAAATCTCATATTCTAAATACTTCTTTGTTATTTTTCTGTTTTTATTTTAAATAGCTTTCACATTTCCCGCCGCTTTTGATTTCAAATGTACGTTTTAACTTTTCAGCACTTAACATCTTAGCTCTACAGAATTCCCAGCGGTACACTTTCTTAATTCACCTTGCTGATATTCGAAATATCTTTTATCTCTTACTACTCCCCCTCTCCTCCTACTAAACCTTAGATCTGCCTCTATATTACTTGCCCATCTTATGTTCTCGCTGTACTCTTTTTATAGCTGTTACTTTCTCTCGCTTGTATTCTCAAAATTTACCGCTCTTTATTTATATGCGTTCTCTCTCACTCACTAACTGCTTTCAGTGCATTTCTCATATTTTTTTTTTTTTAATTTTTCTTGTTATGTTTTTTATTAAATTTTACTATATTAGTAATTTTTAAAAAATTCTTTATAATATTCAAAGTTGGTGTTTTAGTTTTGACTTCCTTACGGTTTCATCCTCATACTTCACGTTATAGTTTTTTTTTGTCATTTAATATATTCTTATTAGACTTAATAATGCTAATTAATAATTTATACTCACTTATTGGAACGAAAAATTTAAATTAATTTTAGCTCTTAATTTTTCTTTGGTGCTCTTAGAAGTACTTTCACATTTCGCACTCATATTTTGATATAACATTGATTTATTTACGAATAATTTGTAATATAAAATTTTTTATTTTAATTTTTTTTAACTTTCTTCATACACATTTCTACTACTTAGTTTTCATTAGTAAGCGTGAAGTGACAACTAAAAGAATCTATAGTTTACGAAAACATTCATACATATAATTTTTTGACTATTTATTTATATATTAATTTAATATTTTATTTTAATTAAAATTTGCTGTTTATTTTTTAAAACACTGAACGCTTTTGATTAACTATAAATATTTGTGTTTCATAGTGTATAGTGAGAGAAGTGAAGTGTATAAACTATGAAAGCGCTCAAACAACACTAAACCCAATAGATTAACTCCACAACTGTCACTCTATTTGGAGAGAAAGAGGGAGAGAGCGAGATCTAGATAAAGCCCAAAAAACGAGAACGATTTTGAGAAATTGCGACAAATGAGAGAGATTGCGAAAGCTTTTATCAGTCAGGGCAAACCTGTAGTCTAATCTGCATTTTCTAATTATGCTACTGTAACAGCTAATCGTTTCGCCTTTGGTTCTCTCATAATGCTAACACCGTTATTTATTCATACGAATATCTTATACAACGAAAATGCGGTTGCATTTCAAAAATTAAATACTCAAATTGATGTTTCATTTCCGTTTCATCAACTATTTTCGACACGAAAGGCAAAAAGTAATTGAAAAACCAGCAGAGAGTATTTTCCATGCACCCATTGTCATTTTCGCGCTGAACTGCGACCTTAATCAAAGGCTTAACCGTTCAGATCAGTTCTGTTCAGAAAATTCAGCTGCTGGGTGTGCAACTTGACTAAATTAATGCATAAAATTTCTCTGACTGCCATGATTTGGCTTCCCAGCTATTGCCTCACTATCTCGCATATCGTTTTGCGCTTACCTGTTTCAAAACCGTATCAACTTCACACTTAAATCACACTCACTCACTTTAAAATATTTAATACAAATTACAAAAATTGCTGCGCGTACTTCATTTGCAATAGCGTTCACTACCGCCGTTCATGCTAATGCTCTTGGCGGCTTTTTTGCTCAGCTGTTATACTAAATAATACAGCACATTTTACTGTCATTGTGGTTTGTAATGATCAAACTGCTTCTTTTTCTCCCGCTCGCTCTCTCCCGTTGCGCTCTACCTACACTTATACCGCTCGCTTTCTTTCACTCACTCTCAAACTAACTGCTGCTTTTCCTCGCTCTCTTCCTTTTCCTTCGACTTCTGCTTCTCTCGCTCTCGCTTCCGTTTTATCTCTCACTCTTCACGCACACTGTCTATCCTCATCTAACCGCTATGCTTTTCGTTCACTCTCCACACTTGCTATAGCCAATCCGTGTCGCGCATTTAAGCGCATGGTTGCCATCTAGATGTAATTTGCACTCGGTTTTAAAATTTCAAATAATTCACACATTTATTTAGTTAATTTCATGGCAATATCAATTAATAAATTTATAATAATAATAATAATTAATTTAATAATAGCAAATAGCTGGTTGTTTGATTTTTTTTTTTTTGTATTTTATTTTATTTATGTAATGTATGTATATTTTTATTTGTTTGGTTTTTTGCTTTTTGTTTTTGTTTTGATACTGTTATTATATTAATATTTTTTATGCTGTAAAATATGCGTATCGGTTGCTTTACTTTGTGTGTGTGTATGTCTGTTTGTTTTATTTAATTTTTATTTTTTTTCTCTCATTATTTATGTTTCATGCAATAATTAATATATGAATTTATAATCATTAGATTTTTAAGTATTTTTTCTCAGCATTTTTTGTGTTTTGTTTTGAAACTACGAAATTAATAAATTAATTAATTACGAAAATTCATAAATTTTTATATATATATATATATATATAGATATATATATATATAAATATGTGTGTGTATGTATATATATGATAGACAAATACAAATACAAATACAATTTAATTAAGTACAATTAAGTAATTAGTTTAAAAAGTGGGTTTACAAGTGTCACTAAGTATTTTGTTTAAATAAATTTTGCTTAAATATTTTCCACATAATAATTTTAAGTTATTTAATTATAATAGTTAATAATAAGTAATAAATATATATTTATATATATATATGCATAAGTAGTTATACGATGAGTTTGAGAATTATTTGTTGCTTTATTTTTATTTTCATTTTTTTTTATTTCCCTTTTTTTAGGTTTTGAGAATTTCTATTTGCCTTTGAATATTTTCAGGGTTGATTTTTGTGTTAAACTATTTGTGCCAGTGTTGTTGATTGGGGGGGTTGCTATGCGGTGCTTTTGCTTCATACCAATTAGCTGCAGTGTTCGCTTTAGCTTAACGGAACTTGTGGCAGCGTTGCTTTGCTCTTTCAGCGCGCCTATGCTCACAGCAGCGCTTACACTACGTTATTTTTGTTCGCTTAATCTTATTTTCTAAGCGTTTTGACCGCTTACTACTTGTGGCAAAGCTTTTGCACTTGCTGCTGTTGTTGTCTCGCTCTCACGCTCAACTACTTTCGGCTCGCTTGAACACACAAAAAATATTGCCTAGAAAGCAGTGTTGTGCTAACAATTTCACGCTTTCCCTACTCCCTTTTGCCATATGCCGTTCTCTGCTCCGTATTCTTTTCTCTTACATTTTTTGCTAACAAATTTTCGAATTTCAATAAATACTACAAAACTAAATTTAATTTTGCACAACTTATAATTTTTACTAACTTTCTTCAATGAAAAATATTATTATTAATTTTTTTTTAATTTCTGTGTGACTAGTGGTCATTTTTCAACACTTTTTGTATAGTTAATATTTTTTAGCTGTTTCTTCTGCACACACTACTACAGCTTCATATATAATATGTGTATATAATTTATGTAAATTTTTTAAATATTTTTTTGTTTTTTGTTTTGCATGTTTTAACTTTTTTGTTGTTGTTTAGTTGAACTGCGGTGTTTACTGGTTGTTGCTTACACTTCATGCTTATTTATTCTCCTTTCTTTTCACTAATTTAACGCTCTTAACTGCTTGCTTTTTCTCTCACATATTTTTGCTCTTACGTAAGCGCTCGCGTCACACAAAAGCTTGGCTTACGCTTACGCTCCCATTCTCTTTCACTGCCGCCGTTTTGCCTTCTCTTTCGTTTTCCTTCACACTCTTGCTGTTTTTCCTATAGTTGCTGCTGCTGTTGCTCTGCTTCTTCTTTACACCACTCAGGTTCACTTAAGCGGTTTTGGTTTTATTTGTCTTAAAGCTAACTTGCAACACCCGGTTGCCCAGTGTATAACCGTTGAGTGATTGTATTGCCACAACCGCTTCGTCGTAATTCGTCATGGTCACGAAGCCGAAACCCTTGCATTTGCTCGTCTGTAAATCTCGTATAACCTTGACCGATTGGACGGCACCGAATGGGCCGAACAGCTGCCACAAGACATTCTCCTCCGTTTCGGGTGCGAGGTTGTAAACGAATATGCACCAGCCGGAGCCGGTCATTGCATTGCCGGGCAAAATGGAATTGGCCAAAAGATCACCAGCCAATGGTGAGTATCTAAATGCGAAAAAAATTGTGAGAAAGAGAGAGAGAGAGAGAGAAAGAGGGAGAAAATGTGATAAGTACAACATGTTGACATTTATCTAGTTTATGATTAGTACAAATGAGCGCGCGTGTTTTAAATACATTTACTCAGTTAGCGCTTTTGAGTTTATCACTTTATAGACTAAGAGAAAAATAGATAAATAATTCGTTTTGATTTTTTCTTATGCTGAGTTCGTTGAGAGATAGTTAATAATTTGATTAAAATGAATTTTGAACATAAATAATAAAATATATAATATTTTTAACTAAAAAAAATTAACAGAACTGTGAATGAGTGAAAGTATGAGTGACAATCTTTAAGTCTCCAACCTTCCAAATAAACAAAGTGAACAGCAAGAAGATGAAGAAACTGTCTTTAGTTACAAAAGAGAAAAAATATATATAAAAATTATTATGCTTACAATTGGAATATGTAATGAATTTACCATTTCAGCGAGCATTAAATTCGAATGAGCGTTTGTCAGCAATTTATTAATTTTTATAGATAGTCAAGTGTCCTTTGTATTTATAGAGAGAGATAAGAGAACGATGAGAATATAGTTCATGTGCTCAAATTTTTAATAACGGTTGTTGTGGCAAAAGTACAAGAAAATGACAAAGAATTGTTCAATTCGTAAGTGCTCAATTCCCGCTCTCTTTCTCTCACTTCGTGTGTATACCCTGAACAGGGTGTATACGCAAACTAGTCCCACATTTTTTGAGATAACGCTCTGAATCTGATCATTTTCAAAAAGCTGCTCATTTGTCGGAACCGCCGATATCGAATCACTATAGCATATAGCTGTTATACAAACTGAACGATTCAAACAAACTATAATTGGTATAAAAAACTTTTTTATTTGTCAAGATATCTTCTCTAAATTTGGCACGGATTATTGTCAAAGATAACGGTACAATCTCCGAACATATTGTTTAGATCGGAGAACTATAGCCTATAGCTGTCATACAAACCGACCGCTCAAAATTTCGATTTCGTGTTTTTATTTGTTTTCTTTTGGTTTTGTTTTTTCTGAAATGAAATTAATAGGTAGTAAAAAGAGCAAAATTGCGGTCAAGCTTGCAATCATGCTGAAAAGTCCGCTCTCACTAATTAAAATAACTTGAATACTAATAGTTGGTCCCGAAAAATGTATATACTTATTGCCTGCAATTTTTAAAATTATTTCTCTTGTTTTACTTTCTCTTTATCTAACTATCTCTCCCTCTTTCTCTCTTTATACAGCATTTACTCCTTATTAGACACTTTTCTCTCACGATTCATTGCTTTGACATGTTTTTCATTAATAATAAGTGTTGAAATCCGATTTCATTTAACTTTTAAAAACTTAAAAATTAAAATATAAATAAGTTATACAAAAAATAGCTATAATATAAATAGTTGATCAACATAGAGCGTTGTTCCTATTAAGTTGGCGCTCTCTTATATATAGTTCTCTCTTTATATAAAAATATTCACTTTATCTATTTCAGATATATGCTACACTGCCTGCCGAGAGTTGCTATTATTTAAAAAAAGTAAATATTAAAATACTTTTTGAAAAAAGTACATTAATTTTCAAATCACACAAATCTTTGCATGCCTTGCTTTTAACGTATAATTATAAATTAAATGCAGTTAGAGATTGTAAACAGTTAAAACAACAAGTACATACAGCAACAGTGCTTAAAGTTTTCGAAAAATAACATATTTTTAAAAATTTCTTAAACTTTAATTTATTACTAAAAGTTGTTTTTTTTTTCAATTTAATATTTTTTTTAATAAATATAAATATAAAACAATTAATAATTTTCAGAAAAGTATAAAAAAAAAATTTAACTGTAAAGATGCTATTATACAATAGTAGATAAAAATGTGTTTTTTTTTTGGTAAAAATACTTAAAATCCTACTTTCTCAAAATACTTTGTATGAGAGCGAAATGCAGTACTTTAACTTAAAAACCACCCAGAAACCGAAAAGAACACACATTTAGTATAATACATTGTAAAATTGCGAGGGAGGAACGCAAAATTTAAGGTTATACAGCGTCACAGTCGAAAGCCAAGGGAAAAAATTAATTACTAGAACAATTACAGCAAATTAAATTAAACTTTTCAGCGCTAATAATACACTGACAAAAATTCAAGGCCAAAATTTACGGCATCAACATTAAAAGCAAGCACATTTTTAAGTATTTTAAAAATTTTTTTTTTCAAATTAAACTTTTTTTCAAATTTATTCTTTTTTCGAGTTGAAGTACTTTTTTTAAAATTAATTTAAAAAAAAAAACTTTTTTTTACAAATGTATTTAAAACCAAAAAATGTAAAACACGTTGTGTTTTAATAACTTTACAAATGTAAAATTTTTTAGTGTGTCAAATACGCAGAAAAATTAAAAATAAGAAAATAAACTGCCTTTGCAATTTTAAATTTAATTTTCTATTTTTATAATTTTTATGAAAAAAAAAAATTTATTTTTCACACAAATTTTCTTTTCGTTTACTTTTCTACACACAGTTGCAATTTGTTTAAACAAAGGTTCATAAAAATATAAATATTTTAATAATAACAAAAATTATTCACCTTTGTAAACCCTTGTTAATGGCTAACATCGGGCTTTTTCCAATGCTAAAAACGAAATCGGTAGTTTTTCGGTCAATATTATTATTTTTTTCCACAAAATTAGAAGAAAAAGAAAAAACATAAAGAAGGAAAAATTAAATGAGTACGGTTTTAGTAAAAACAATAGTAGCGAAAAAAAGTTAGCGGTTAGTATGACTGCTGAGAACGTTTCAATTTCGTAAAGGTCGCAAAATTTATTTATGTTTGAAAAAATTATTAAATAAGTTTAATTTCAGATTTTTTTTTTTTAATTGAAAAATGTGTTTGGAAGTTATTTTTGTATGGTTTGTTTCACATTTCCAAAAATAATATACTGCTAGATTCTGTGAGGAAAATACGGAATTAAAAACTATATAAAAAAATAAACAACAGTGAGCTTAATATTTGAAGCTTTTATTTATTTAAAATAATATATGTTTGAGTTAAATTAAAATTTGAAGTACTAAATTAGAAGTTTCGATTTAACCGATTGCTTGAGGTTTAAAATGGGCTTAAAAGCTGCAAGAACGCTATGGTGCTTGACTTGGCTAAACTAGCGCTTTACTAAGGAAATCGTTTCAACTAAATAGTGGTGAAAACTCACAGCTGTAATTTTTACCACACGCTGCCGCTTTTTCTACGCCCAGCTGCACTTAAAAGCTCGCGCACGCGCAACTAACTAGCACGCGCACCTTGTCATACTATGTATTTACGCTTGCACAAAGTTTTTCACATTTTCTACAATACATTTTGAACTTTCCTAAGCTTTCACTCCATGTCGCTTACCTTATACGTCCAGCCGATGGCAGTGCGCCAGCGAGACGACGCGTTGCGGCAGCCGCTTGTGGTGTCAAATAAGCGGCCAATGGTGGTGGGAGTTGAGCTTTAGCGCTATTGCTGGGATTATTGGCAAATTTAACAGTTATTGGTTCGGTGTAACCTTTGGGCGTTTTGCCATTTAATTCCTGTATAGCGCGCTCAGCTTCGTTGCGTTGATCGAAACGTATAAAACCGACACCTTTCGATAGACCTATGGAAAGCAAAAACGAAAGTTTAATTATGTTTTAAACAAACAAAAAAATAGTGACAGTGCCGACACAGAGCGCTTTAAGTGAGTGAGGCGGTAGCTGTCCAAGCTTAAGCAGCAAATGGTTTATGTAAGCGCTGCCTTGGGCACCAGAAACTATGTAAACTGGTGTGTGTCTCAGCTAATATGAAAGCCACCACAGCGCTCTGCTCTCTAACTTACTTTTTTTATACTAAAACTTTACTCACCAGAAATATTATCACAGAGTATACGAGATGTAATTATCTTGCCATATGATGCGAATAGTGCCTCCAAGTCTGGTTGTGATAGATTTTTGGGAAGACCCGATACATACAAATTAGCACCCTTTATTGATTCCGAACTTGGACGGGCGTATGATACTTTAATCACTTTATTCTGCAAACGCAAGCCATTCAATGTATTAACGGCCTTCTCAGCATCCTCGGCGCGTACATAGTTAACAAAACCGTAGCCCAAGCTTTGACCGACTGCGGGAGTGAAAGAGAGAAAAATAATGTTAGTTAGAAGGATTACAACACAAAGATATAGGCTAATCGAGTGTTACCGACTTAAAGCGGTAGCTTACCTTGTTGCAATGCCGGGTTGAGTGCGGTTAACGAAGCTGGCAACACTGTAAACATTATATAAATACAAGTATATGCCATTAAAATTAATATTTTTAAAAATTACATTCTAGTTAGTCTATTTTACGAAAGTAACTAAGTTTTATATAAATAAAATGTTTTTAACTTTAAATTTAAATTTAACTCAAATTTAAATTACTTAAATACCTAAATATAGTTTAAGTTTCGTTTAAGTAAAGCTTAAGTTTCACTTAAGTATTTTAATGAATTTGTCATTATTTCACTTAAGCTAAAAAACTCACTTAACTGTATTCAAATTAAATTTACTTATTTACTTAAGTACAACTTAAGTTCCACACAAGTATTTCATTTCATTTGTTATTTTTTTGCTACAGCTAATGAACGTTAAAACTGAAAGTAGGCTCACTTAAGTACTTAAGTTTAAATAATAGACACAAAAAAAGTTGAAATTTGTGACTTAAGCACTTAGCTTTGACAAAAAGTTTCATAATTTGTATATAAGGTATATAAAGTGTGCCACAAAGTTTGTAACAACCAGAGGAATACCTTGGAGGAACTATATGACGAGCTGAGCCGATTTAGCCATGTCCGTCTGGCTGGGAAACGCTAACTAATCCCTCAGTTTTTGAGATACCGTTCTGAAATTTTGCACATGTTCTTTTCTCTCTTTTTGTATGAAAAAATTTTTCATTTGGCGAGACACCTTCACGAAATTTGGCATGGGTTATTGTCTAAGAGCTTGGTGTAATCTCCAATTGAAATTGTTCAGATCGGACAACTATAGCCTATAGTTTCCATACAAACTTAACGATCGGAATCAAGTACTTGTAAGGAATCCTTTGTATTTGTAAATGGTTTTATAGCTTCGGTGTAACCGTAATTAATGTTTTTACTCGTTTAAGATAAAACTATTTTAGCTTAGGTTAATACTAAGTAGTTAAGTATTACTTAAGTTGCACTTACATATATGAAATTTACACAAACTCTGCTTAAGTACAATTTGCGTGTTACCTGACTTTTACTTTTAATATAGTCAGTTATCACGTAGCCTGTGCTTAAGCATCACTTAAGTGCAACTTAAGTTTGGCTTTTTTTTGCTTTTAGTTACATAATAATAATTAGTGTGAAAAAAGTTGCATATTTACCCAAATTACCTGAGGCTTTGTCGCGCACAAGCTTGCAACTCTCCAATTCGCCAATGCTCGAGAAGAGCGAACGCATCTCCTCTTGCGTCATTGTCTGTGGCAAATAGTTCACAATCAAGTTGGTGCGCGACTCATCCGAGCTGCCATCGACGGAGCCATTGGCACTGCCATTCTTCACAATATCCATGGCGTTGGTCATTTTCTTGCCGGTGGCTTGTGGCGTCGTTTGCTTTTTATTAACGACTGTTGTTGCTTCTGCTGCTGCTGCTGCTGCTGCTGTTGTTGCGGCGCTTGCTTGCTTTTGGGGCGTAATTTTGAAGTTCGCTCTAAACGGTTGTGTGCGCTCAAACGCGTGCTCTCTCTTACTCTACGGCTTGCCTTGCTATTGGCTCGATCTTTGATCTGTCGACACACACACACGCACACTCTCGCTTTTGAACTACGCTCTTGCGCTCGCTGATCTCTTGCGCTCACCTAGCTTTCTAACTGTACTGCTTGCTTAGCGCTTTGTTGCTTTATTTGTATGCTGATTTGTTGTTGCTTAGTAGTTAGTCTCACTGCTTGTTTAAATATCGCTTAAATTTAATTTATTTTAAATATTTCTTTTATAAGAGCTTTGATTGCGCTTTGCACAAGTCCCGTTGGAAATTAAGTATGTATGTAAGTAAGTAAGTATGTAAGTTAGTTTAAGTAAGCTTTCGCTAAAAATTATCTTTCACACAAATTGCAAATAGTTTTAGCTTTGCTTATTTATTTACTTTTTGTTGTCTTATTTGTTTTCTTTTTTTTTTTTTTACTAGAAGACTTTACACTGTGTTGTTGGCGTGGAGCTTTCGCTTGTGGCCACTTTGAGCTTTCGTGCGTTTTTTTGTAGCTTTCGCTCGGCGTTGCTGCTTGGTGTATGGGTTTTAGATCAACTACGATCGTTCTACGCTCGTTTCTTTGTATGTGTTTAATGATTTTCTTTCGCTAAAATTTTGCTTTTTAGTAAAATTGATTTTTCAATGATTTTTTTTTTATTTTTATTTTGCTTTAGTAAGTTGTTCTTTAAGTTAAAAGAGTAAATTTTGCTAATGATTTTTTATGTTCGTTAAGTGTGTATCTCTGATTCTCAAAGGATTGTTCGTGTATTGATTCGCCTTTGTAAGTATATATATATATATATATATATGTATTATAATATTTGCTTTTTTATTATTTGTTTTTGTTTTTTATAAAATTGCAAAAATGCAAAAAGACAGCAATATTAATATTTTTATATAATTTATATTCTCCGCTCACTAAGATTTTATTTAAAAATTTGCTTTTATATGGTATTAAGTACTCTCTTTACTCTCTCTCTTAACTGCTGCTGCTGTTGGTGCTGTTGCTCTCTTGATCTGCTGGTGCTTTATGGAACATTAGTATTTGTATGTCACGTTTTTATTTATATATAGATATATATATATATATATTGTTGTTGTTATATACTGTTGGTTTTATATTCTCTTTGTATAAATTTAATATGATTATTCGTTAGCTCCTTTTTATGGATATTTGTTTTGCTCTGCTACTATTCTCTTTAGTTTAGTTTAGTTGGTTTTCTTTGGTGGTGTTGATTTGCAAGATTCTCTTGGATCTCTATTTATTTCGCCGCTCTCTTGATTTTGTTAACTCACAGAGTTTCTACTCCCTTTTTGACAACTGCACGATTGCGCTCACGTTGAAATAATCAATCTGAAAAAGAAAATAGAAAACAATGAGCTTTGAGCAAATAGTTTTTTCGATATAAGCAAAAAGTGGTCGTAATGAATTACTATACCCTAGTTTAGTACAGAAATTAGTAATTTAGTATTAGTAATTCTGTTAGTGTTGGTCATTATTACTGTAATGGTATTTGGTGAGACTGCTAATTGTATTGTGTAATGATATTTTTTATAATTTTGGTAATGATAATTTACTAATTTTCTTAGTATTGGTAATTATCAAAGTAATAGTATTTGTTGATAATGGTAGTTATAAGGTGTAATGGTGTTATGATTAATTATTTTGTAATAGTAATTTTTACTGCTTTTAATAATGATATTAAATTTTTAAAATGGGTCACGTTGCTTTAGTTAAATTTAAGATTTTGTTAGTAATGGTATTATTTCAAAATCCACAAAAATATTAATATCTGTAATAAGGTTAAATTTATTGTAAAATTTTTTACTGCTAAAACTTTTACTAATGATAATTGTAATTATAATATATAATTTTATTAAAATTAGTAATTTAATGGTATTTATAAAATTTTAATACTGACAATGAAAATTCAACTCACGGTAATGGTAAAGTAATGAAATTTATGCCGATAATTATAACAATAATTAAATATATTTTTTTGCAAAAACGTAAAGTTTTTAAACCAAGTATAATACTGATGGCAGAATTATAAGCAATGAGAATGTTATTCTTGGTAATTGTAGTGTAATGAAAATTATTGCGGTAATTATAGCAATCTTTTTTTGTAAATTCGTAAAATCTTCAAACACAGCGCAAAATTTTTGTTAATAGCAAACGTAATTTTCGTTAAGTGAAGTGATTGAAAAGGAAATTATATGTAATTGTTGTTTGCAGTAAGAGTTCCATAAAATAGAAAAGATTTTACAAATGGTAGTGGTAACGTCATGAAAAGTATAGCGGTAATTATAACAATAACTGGTTATAAATTCGCAAAACTTTTAAACACAACGCAGTATTTTTGTTAAAATAATAAGTAATTTTAGGCAATTCTGAAGGTATCGTCAAGTAATTAAAAAAGTACTTGTATGTAATTGTATTTTCCAGCAAGAGTTCGGTAAAATAGTTATTTCAAATCAATAATTTCTGGCGATTTTGCATTATTCCATAAAAAGTAAAAAATTAATATTTAATTTATAGTAATGATGAAGTAATTAAAATTATAAGGGTCGTTATAGCAATAATTTGTTGTAAATTCGCAGAATCTTCAAACACAACGCAGTATTTTTGTTAAGAACAAACGTAATTTTCGGTAATTGTAATGGTATTGTGTAGTAAATAAAAAAGTAATTATATATTATTGTTCTTTTCAGTAAGAGTTCCGTAAAATACAAAAAGTAAAGAAGTAAAATTTTGCAAATAGTAATTGTAATGTAATGTAAATTATAACAGTAATTATAACAACAACTTGTTTTAAGTCCGCAAAATCTTGAAACATAACGAAATATTTTTCCTACGTACAAAAGTAATAGTAATTCTGTTGGTATTATGAAGTAATTTTAAACGTAACTATATGTCATTGTTGTTTCGGGTAACAGTTCCGTAAAATAGTTAAATTAGTCAAACCAATAAAATTTTATTTAATTATATATTGTGATAGACAAGTCTATTATAAGCGCCTAAGACCACACCCCGTTGATCTATCCACATACACACATACATACGAGTATGTAATTACTGTTTTTAATATAATTAACAATTGATCAAATTGTTTGCCAACATTGAAGTGGAAATAAACGTTCCATCATGACTTTCAAGAAGTGCTCAATCAGAAAATATATGCACTTGGACAAGTACATACACATCAGTACACTTAAGTACACACGCATAAGCATATGTAATGAACAACAACAGCATCAGCAAGTGTAATGCAATACTGGCTATCAGGGCGAAATGGAAAAAAGCAGACTGCGTAGAGCCCAGAGGGAGATCCCGCGGCAAAAGATGTAATTAAATGAGTGTGGAGAGCGGTGGAGGGGGGTATGCACTTACATATGGGTATGAGCGATATTAATGCCCACATGGGAATTAATCAACTTTTTTATGTTTCATATATAAGTGTATGTATATGTGTATATGTGGCTGTGCAAGTTGTTTGGGTACATAACAACCCTTAAAAATCACCGACTGTGCGGCCTCGTAGAAACCCTCCTCTATTTATTTATCTTCGTTTCTTTTGTTGTTGTTGTTTTATGTTTTAGATTTTTTTTGTTTTTGTTTTAAGCATATGCGGATTATGACTTTAGCGCCAGCGTTGCCACACAATACCAACAGTGTGCGCTTTTGTTTAATTTTTTTTTTTGTGATTTGTGTTTGTGCCACAAATGCAGTTAGTTGCAAGTCTTCCTATTGTCTGTTGTTGTTGCCGAGTTATATTTTTTTCTTTTCATGTATAATGTGACTCTCGCAGCGCAGTATTTTTGTGCAATTGTCGGGAAGTAATTCACTAATTCACAGATAGATTTCATTTAATTTGCTTTGTTGGCATTTTTTCCGGTTTAACAGTTTTTTTTTTTCATTCCGTTCTCTTTTGAAGTACAAGTGCTTGGAAAACAGACGGTTTTTAATAAAATTTGTTGCATTGTTTGCGCAGAAGAGGCGGCATTAACTTAAGCATATGATTTAAAAAAAAATTCTTAATTAAAAAAGATTTTAAAAATATTTTGGAAGCACTTAAGTTTTTGTTAAGCATATGACTAAATAAAAAGTAAAAAGATTTAGAAAAATTTTGCTAAGCGTTTAAGCTTTTGTTAAGTATATGATTAAGTTGAAAATAAGAAAACGTAAAAAAATTTTTGTTAAGCACTTAAGGTTTTGTTAAGTATATGATTAAGTTTAAAGTAAAATTATTTAAAAAGTGACTGGTAAGCATATGACTAAATAAAAAGTAAAAAGATTTAAAAAATGTTTCTTAAGCACTTAAGTTTTTATTAAGCATATAATTAAGTTTAAAATTAAAAAAAATAAAAAAAATTATTGTCAAGCGCTTAAGTTTTCGTTAAGTATATAATTAATTTTAAATTTTGTTTAAGTTTTTATTAAGTATTACATGTCTTTTCATTAAACTAATTTTTTTCGTAGAGGGGTAGTGTTTTAAATAACGTTCAAAGTATTATTTTGTTAAGTATTACTTAAGCTTTTATTAAGTACTACATATTTTTCCATAAAACCTGATTTTTCCATAGAGTTAGAGTGCACTAACAGCTTTTGAAGTATTATTTCGTTAAGTTTTACTTAAGTTTTTATTAAGTATTATATACTTTTTCATAAAACTTGATTTTTTCATATAATTAGAGTGCTTTAATTAAATTTGGAAGTATTATTTCGTTAAGTGTTACTTAAGTTTCACACATTTTGAGCTTGCAAGATATTACTTTTTTTTACATTTTTGCCCTCAGTTTTAGTTATTTTTAATAAAATATTAATACTTTTCTATGTATCCCCTTGCCTTAATAAGTAATTTCGCCTTCAATTCGCCTCAATTACTTTCCACAAGTCCATACACCGCTGCTCCTATTCTGATTTGAATAATTTCCTTTGTCTTTCATTATAATTTTCCACTTCAGCTGATTTACATTTATATTTATAACACAGCTTACTTAATTTCATATACATTCATACACACATACAACTACAACCGATTTCTAATCAGAATTGCTGTGTGGCATGCAACTTGTTTAGCCACTGCGTTGTTGGACTGCGCGTTAACAGCGACTGGAGCAGTGCTGTTGTACTTTATGCAGGCAAAATCTAACTGCCTTGATGGATGTGTGTGTGTGTGCGTGTGAACATAGGGTTGCATGCAACATGAGCTCAAATGCACATACACACATATAAATGGAATGACACATGATACAATAGCGTGTTCTGCTTTGTTGCTAAGCTAAGTTTTGTCTATTCTGGCTCTTTCATGTTGTTGCTATTGTTATTGCTATCGAAATAGTCAAAATACCTGGCTAGAGTCCTTGCCCATTTGATTGCTCGCTTTGCACGCCAACTTTGACTCTCGCTCACACACAAATGCTGCACGTTTGGTCGTTGCATTTATGTCGCTTCCCTCTCGCCCTCTCCCACTTATTACATCGCTCGTATTCTTGTTATTTCTATTGCCTTCGCTGAATTCAGTGCATTTGCTATGTTACAACAATACAGCGGCAGCAACAACGACAGCTGTGACTTCATAGACAAAACTTCACACACACATTTATGCACATACATGTATGTGTGTGCCTGTATTCACGCCAACAGTTGAACATAAATGCATAACTGCAGTTGAGTTGTGTCTAAGCGCGGAGTTCATTGACCTCACTTCGCCACATCTAGTTTGTATGCAATGATGTAGTGACTTTCGTGGCTGCCGGCACCACGACCAGACAAACAAACGCGCCCATACACAGGCATACATGCATACATAGTAATGTAGATATGTATTTTTGATCGTTATCCTGATTGAGATATCCTTGCATGCACATTATTGCCGTTGCTTAGAGAAATTAAATAATTTCCTTGTGCTGACAGACAGATAGACAAATGCATGCATATATATGTATATTCATATTTATGTTTGTATGTATATGCATATAAGTGTGTAAATATGGAGTTTCTATTTGTTTGATTATGTAATCAGTTGTAATCGTAGTAAATACGCGAAAAATAGCGGTTGTAGATAGCGGATGTTATATATAAAAACAGAAGTAAACGCTTTTAAAATATGTAAAATGCCTCCAGCGCCTGTGGGTAGACTTTGGCACATATTTTGTTTGACGAAAAACAAGGCTACCTAATGAAATTTGGTCGCTGAATTCATTCAATTTTTAACAATTAGTAAATTCATAAGTTCCAACGCTATTATTTTGAAAAAAAAAATAAATAAATAAATGAAATTCACTAAAACAAATTTAACAAAAAAAATTAAAAAAAAAATTAACAAAATTATCAACTATTTTTAAATTAAC